TCTTGGAGGAGGTCCATAAATTTGGAATTGGCCGTCGTACGGAGCCCATTATCGCTATCGGTGGCGGTGTGTGTCTGGATATCGCGGGTCTTGCCGCGTCTCTGTATCGCAGACGCACTCCGTATATTCGTGTCCCTACAACTCTGTTGGCTTACATTGATGCCAGTGTAGGGGCAAAGACGGGGGTCAATTTTGCCAACTGTAAAAATAAACTAGGGTCATACATACCCCCTGTGGCAACGTTCCTGGACAGGACTTTCCTGTGCACTCTTCCACGCCGCCATATTTCTAATGGAATGGCTGAGATGTTGAAGGTACACATTTATAAATTATGTATTTATAAGTATTTTAACATGAAAATGAGTCTGTCAAAAACATTTCAAAACCTTATCGACCCAGACTAGAGTTGTCAAAAATACTGACTTCGGTATTTTAAAAATGTGATAAAACCAGCATTTCCTTCTAGCATTTTGAACGCTGTTGAGCGGATTCTTAAACATCTCTGATTGGCCATTGCGGAGATGCACTCAACATATGTCTGTGATTGGCCATTGTGGACTAGTATCCACAACATATATGTCTGCTCAACATATATGTCTGTGATTGGCCATTGTCGTGATGCAATCAACATATATGTCTGTAATTGGCCATTGTGTTGATGCACTCAACATATATGTCTGTGATTAGCCATTGTGGTGATGGCTCAACATATACGTATGTCTGTGATTGGCCATTGTGGTGATGGCTCAACATATACGTATGTCTGTGATTGGCCATTGTGGGGATGGCTCAACATATATGTCTGTGATTGGCCATTGTGTTGATGCAATCAACATATATGTCTGTGATTGGCCATTGTGGTGATGCACTCAACATATATATCAGTAATTGGCCATTGTGTTGACGCAATCAACATATAAGTCTGTAATTGGCCATTGTGTTGACGCAATCAACATATATCTGTGATTAGCCATTGTGGTGATGGCTCAACATATATGTCTGTGATTAGCCATTGTGTTGATGCGCTCAACATATATGTCTGTGATTGGCCATTGTGTTGATGCGCTCAACATATATGTCTGTGATTGGCCATTGTGTTGATGCGCTCAACATATATGTCTGTGATTGGCCATTGTGTTGATGCGCTCAACATATATGTCTGTGATTGGCCATTGTGTTGAAGCAATCCACATATGTGTCTGTGATTGGCCATTGTGGTGATGCGCTCAACATATATGTCTGTGATTAGCCATTGTGTTGATAGCTCAACATATGTCTGTGATTGGTCATTGTGTTGATGCACTCGACAAATATGGCTACAATAATCAACACTTCAAAACAAGCCGTCTTTCACACTCTTCATCGTGTGCTTACACAGATACACACGGGAAAATTTGAAAGAGATATTAGGGATCCGCTGATAGACGCCTGCTTTTAAATGTGTGCATCTATGCTCTGTGAAGAGCATCAAAGATGTCATTGTTGATCATTGTAGCCAATCACAGACGTAAGTTGAGCGCTTCAACACAGCCAATCAGAGACATATACTGTATATTGAGCTGATGGCCAACACAATGGCCAATCAGAAACATACATGTTGAGCGCTTCAACAAAATGGCCAATCAGAGGTCATTCAACAGCGCTCAAAATGCTAGAGGTAAATGTTGGTATCGTCACATTTTTAAAATTTCAGTATCGACTTGGCACCGAAGTCTGTACTTTTTGACAACTCTAACCCAGACTTTTGAATGGTAGTTTATTCTGACTTTATTGTGCAAGTCTAATTGAGGTCTTGTTTCACCAATACTAGTGATCCTCAACAGATGGCGCTGATGAAACACAAAGGACTCTTTGAACTTTTGCAGAACGAGGGAAGACATTTGTTGGACTCAAGGTTCCAACCGAGAATCAATGAAAATGTGCACATGGATGCAGCGAGTGTGTCCACTAGACTGGCCATTGAGACCATGCTGGAGGAACTTGCCCCAAACCTGTGGGAGGATGACCTGGACAGGCTGGTGGACTTCGGCCATATCATCAGTCCAGAGCTTGAAATGGTTCTACCTATTAAGACTTGAAATAAAGTTGCACATTGTGTATCACTGTCTAGAATTAATCTAACTGGAGTTTCTTTGATACAGAAAGTACTTCCTGCACTTTTGCATGGAGAAGCAGTGAACATTGACATGGCCTTCATGGTCTATGTGGCTCATGAAAGGGGCTTTCTGACAGAAGAGGAGAAAAGACGTATCATTGTGTGTATGCAGAGTCTAGAGCTTCCAGTGTGGCATTCAGATTGCACTCTGGATCTAGTACAGAAGTCTCTTACTGACCGACTGAAGCATTCGGGTGGACTTCTGAGAATGCCTCTGCCGACAGCGCTGGGAAGAGCAAGTATGTCAAATATAAATAGAACAACAAAATGTTTGACCAAGGTGTATTTGGGGTCCCTGAGATGTTCTGACATGTCCTGACATTTGTGCTTTTTTTAAATTGCTTCTAAACATATTAATGGCACAGGCGAGATTACACTATATTTAGCACAAACAGGGCAACCATAATATGTGAGCAACATGTATGTACATGTTTGTATTTTTGAGAGAATATTGTTTATGCGTGGATATTGAAAAAACAAAAAATGAAAGTTTCTGAAATAAGGCCACAAAACACATCCGAAACATGAGTCCACAAGACTTTTGACTAATGATGTTGTGGCCTAGAGTTTTTTCTTCACAATGATCTGAAAATCATCCTGCCTTATCTTTCACATAAAACTGTGAATTGGGTTATATTGTGAAAAACAGATCAGCACAGAACAAATCTCAGTAGTCTATATAGTCTTACTAATGTAGGAGCGAAAGTGAATGACCGCCCATCGCGCGCATCTGTCTGTGCGCGCATTTAACATTTAAACAGTCTTTGTGCAGTTTACAGACACTATGCAATAACACGATTAGAACAAAGCACTTAAAGGATTAGTTCACTTTTGATCACGTTCTATTCTGTGAGGCGCGTTTGTAACGTCACGTAATACGTAATTACGTTCAAAAGGTCACGGGTGACGTAGCCGGAAGTACAGAGTCAGTGTTTAAGTTGAACGCATAGGTTGAACGTGCAAACTAACTCAAACGCCGTTTACAAAAAAAGGAATTAAAAGGTAAAACAACAATGTCGGACTATTTTGATTCTGTACTTCCGGCTACGTCGCCCGTGACCTTTTGAACGTAATTACGTATTACGTGGCGTTACAAACGCACCTTTATTTATTGATTTGTATTTTAAATGAGAACTCCGGCGAACAATGAACCTTTGGTCTAATAAAACATCGGTACATAGTCAACCGTTCTCTGAAATTTGTTTTCATGATAATCGAATGAAAAGAGTTTTATCTCTAAAAACTGTTTAGCGTATAATGCTAGTAATGGGGGCATTGGCTGAGTAAAAAGAAATCGCTAGTTTATACCACTAAACAAGGCTCAAAATAGCCCCACACTAACGCAGTAACATAATGAGGCTCCATACATACAAAACGAAGCATTGAGAACTTTGTAAGTGTACAGACCGTTTAATAAGAAGATATTTTATGAAGAGAGTTCACTTCGCGTATACAGACAGGAGCCATCTTAAAAAATAGTCTCGATAAGTCGAACCCAACGTCGTGCTGAGTGATCTGAACTCTATGAAGTTCAACGAACTTCTGAACTGTATGAATGGCGTTCGGGGATCGACTTATCGAGACTATTTTTTAAGATGGCTCCTGTCTGTATACGCGAAGTGAACTGTCTTCATAAAGTATCTTCTTATTAAAGGGTCTGTACACTTACAAAGTTCTCAATGCTTCGTTTTGCATGTATGGGCCCTCATTATGTTACTGTGTGAGCGTGGGGCTATTTTGAGCCTTGTTAGTGGTATAAACTAGCGATTTCTTTTTACTTACTCAATGCCCCCATTACTAGCATTATACGCTAAACAGTTTCTAGAGATAAAACTCTTTAAATTCGATTATCATGAAAACAAAACTCAGAGAATGGTTGACTAGGTACCGACGTTTTATTAGACCAAAGGTTCATTGTTCGCCGGAGTTCTCCTTTAAGTCTATTTTGCAGCTATGTGAATGCGGTGACTCGTTTTTGGTCCTCAGGGGTTTAAAGGGGTGAAATCAGCATATAGACGGCAGTTCAGTGTCTAACACCACTGTGGTATCGTACACAAAGGTCATGGTAACGCTGGCTAAAAAATTTCTGAATACACCTTCAATGTCGACTAAAGATGATGAAAAAATGTATGTATTCTTGAAAGTCATTACTCTACTCATCCTAGTTGCCATATTGAGATGGCAAGACCAGTTGAATACACTTTAGCTCCATTGCCACCATCATCAAACACTTTTAGGTGTGGAAGAAAACTAATCATGGTAAAATAGGCCTATGAGGTTCTGGGTTCAACTCCCGGACGAGCCCCCACTTTTTACAAGTTGTTTTAATCTAAATAAATAAATAATTAAAGGTTAGGACAGGTTTGGTGGTATGTTTAAGAGCGGGTTAGGTAAAGGGAAGGGTCAACTGTGTAATCATAGCAAAATAAATTACATATGCAGATATTTTTTAAAACATAAGTACAATGTAAACACATGTATGTACACACTAAGTGCATTTTATCATTGTATTAGTTAAAGACAAGTAATATAATTTTTTATACCCTACAGGAATCTTCAATGACATAGAAGACAGCATTGTGTGTCGAGCATTCAAGAGATGGTGCAAGGAACACTGTGAAACTGCCATGAAACCACAATCACACAATGGAAAAGCCTGATTCTATTCTTAAACCAAGAAAACATCTGTGATGCATCATGAATAAAAACTCCAGAAATTGTGAAAACCACTCAGTTTTATTTTAATGTCTGTAACGTTTTTTTTAAATTCCCAATACACTTGCTTGAATTCCAACCATGAAACGGTCACACAAGTGACCAACTACTTTCCTCATAAAGCTTCCCGGTAGAAGTTTCACGTTTCAAAACAACAGTTTGAGTGAAAGGTGACTTTCCCAACAGGTGGGCCGTCTTCCAGTATTGAATTCATAAGAAATAAACGCTTCACATATTCAACCAAAAATCTACATCTCACGCTATTGTAAGTCCTTTCTTAAATAATGTTTGGTTAAGCTTAAACAATATCATACAAAAGTATATTAACAAAACAAAAACGTCTTTAACTAGAGCCAAGACACTTTTATAAAAGACAGACTCTATCTGTAGCAATCTGTATTTGTTATTAAAAGATGTTTGGTTGGAGTTCAATGGAAGCCTGTTTTAAAGGCACCTTTCATTGACGTCACTGCATTCATACAGGCCTTGCCTTGTGCTTTACCTGTTACCTGATTGTCTGAATTATTGCTGAGAAAAAAAATTGCAACAGCCAGTTTTGCTATAAAACCACACTGAGATACGTAACAGTTTCACTGCATATTTAGACTTCACTTGCAATTTGGCAACGTTTTAGTAGTCAACACTGTGTAACATTACATTCAGAGGACAACTTTCAGTAGTTTGTCTAGTAAGCAAAGGAGTTTACATTATACACTATTCTTGAAAGTTTTGTAGTGCTTCAAGACACCACAGGTTTAAGCCAGAATACAAAACAGATCAAGTCTCGAGTCGAACCCGAGTTTAAATGTACCCTACTAAGAGATCGCTGGGTTCCACAGTTTAAGACTAAGTCTAAAATCACATAAATAGAAGAGAACGCTTCATTTAAAGGGATAGTTCACACAAAAATGAAAATCATTTCCTTACTCTCATGTTGCTCCAAATCAAGTGTTCCACACATCTCTAGAAAAGTGAAGCTAAAGCATTTTGATCGCCCCCTGGTGGCTCTCTGCAGTACAGGTCGTAAATCCCGCACTCTCCATGAAATCGAACGGGACAATTACACTTTAAATTTAATATTTTTTCCAAAGATGGTTTCTGTCATTTTAGGAAGTTTTCATAACGCTGGCGTACACCCAAATGTTACGAATGGCGAAATCGGCTAGTTCTAGGATATGTTGGCTTCATTTTTCTGCAGTGGGAGGAAGTGGAGACACGTCATCCATCTTTTTTTACAGTCTGTGCTCCAAAAACACATTTAGGTTTAATTGTCCTTTTTGGAAACAATAACAATCCCAGTCCCCATTGGCTTTCACTGTGCGGAAAAGAGCAGCGTGAAATCTCTACTAAACATCTCTTTTTGTTTATAGGTCAAACAGGTTTGGAATGACATGACGATGTGTAAATGATGACATATTCATTTTTTTTGGTGTGAACTATTGCTTTAAGTTGCAGGTTTGTAATATAAGGCACTTTACAGTGATCTGACTATGTTACCTACACTAAACTCTTACAACATCTTTCCATGAAACTGGTTGATTTCTCAACTGAAAGTTATCTTTGCATAGTTCTATGAAACAACACATTCTAGTTTCATCTACATGATCATTATAGTGGCACAAAATTGGATGCTACTCAAAGGCAAACATCAGTACATCTGAGTTGAGCACTTTTAAAGTAAAAATATACAGTAACAGTACAGCTTATTATCACAAACATAGTCAGTCATTTACACCGTGCAAGAATTAAAAAACCCAAACAAGTGTTAGAACAAAATATAAAATGCTTTTTTAAGGTATGATCTTTCTTCCAGTGTTTTTGCCAATACAAAACATAAAAAAACCCAGATCATTCTGTTATATATACGTATATATACATCATATATATATATATATATTTATATATAACAAAAAACCTGGAGCATTTTAGTTGCAATGGCATAATCAAACAGAATTCAATCAATAAAATGTTAGATAAAAATGAAAAAGTTTTTAAGGGCAATAGAATCTGAAGGTTTGAAATATTACTTGATTATTCCCTTAGGCATCAAATATGTGTTAATACATTTCTTCACATTCTTATGGATTCTTTCATGCGATGCATTGTGTTAAAATCAGTTTGCATAATTATATAATTATATAGGCACTGCATTTGATGAACGGTTTTGAAAACTGCTGGGTTAAATCTGAATATTGCTTATTGCTTGGCACATTTCACAGGACATTTGAAAATCAGTTGGAAACGCTGTGTGAAAACTGTCTCTCCACACATGAATGACAATCCTCTGAAGAGTTTTTAGCATGGCAATGGATATGACAATGTTAATGTATTTGGTCTCGGTGGAATAGATCTGCAACACTGCTGCTGAAAGTACAAAGACTCGCTACTGTCAATACATACACAGACCAAGCAGCTCTATGCAGGTGGAGCTGGGGAAGGTGGAGGGTTTCAGAGGACCTTTGAAAGCGAGCCACAGCAAATACTGACCGACTATTTAAATGTTGAGCAGCAAGCTCATTGGCTACAGTTGTGACATGAACCAATCAGCTTGTGCCGTGTAGTTAAGGACCCATTCGCCTGCGCCAACTTGCTATTTCTTCAGATAGACTGGTATTATTTAAAGATTATTTCACAAATTTATGAAAGATAAATATAACAAATCTAAGTGAAATTCTCTAAAACATGAATAAATTAATACTGAGAGAAATTTGGCATTGATTAATAATTGAGTGAAATAATTTATGGTCAGCAGTTTGGGATCATCCTGAGAGCAAACACACTTTGTCTAGACATCTAGTGGTTGAATGCGTTTTCATCTGGAATATGCCATTTTTTTAGATAATCTGCTTAAAAAGTTGGAACGACATTCAACAGAATTTTGTTTGACATTTATGAATTAGTTTGTTTTAGTTTAGATTTATTCAGCTACGCTAAAGGAATAATTAACCGAAAAAGGAAAATGTACTCACACTCATGTTGTCAGAAACCGGTTTGCTGTTATTTGTGTGCATCACAAAAGGATTTTTTTTTTTTTAAATCAGCTTCAATTTCAATCTGTTTCTCTCACACAGATATCACATACTTGTGAAAGTGGCGTGGACTCATTTTAGGATTTCTTTTTTGGAGCACAATGGACATGGTAATTATGCATTCTTAAAAAAAAAACAATAATGATTCTTCAAAATATCTATATTCAACAGAAAACCTACGTCATAGTTTAGAACAACATGAGAGTGAGTACTTAACAGAATTTTCAATTATTCTTTTTAATCTTTTCAAGTGCATCTCGTGGGGGTTTGTGTTTATGGGCAGCTGATATTAGATATTAACTGTTGCCTATTATCTACTTAAGTTAAAAGGAAAGCATTATGCTTAAATCATTCCTTTAAAAGGATATACATGTATATATAAAAGAGAATTATGTTTCTAAACTGTGCGCAAACATTACTGTACACCTAAAAAAAAAATAAAATAAAAATAAAAAATCACCATTCAGGTGCACTTTTAAATAGATTGGTGCAGGTAAGACGTCAGAATCCAGAAAACTAATTTGCCGCTGTTTCCCTTGATATTTTCCAATGGGGTTTGTACATTTTGGAGTAAAATAAGGTCTGTGGTAAACATAACTTGACAATACTTGCACATTTTGAAAAAAAACTGTCTTATCTAGTTACTTGTCAAAAACATTCGTTTTCAAAAATAAACATAACTGCTTCAAATTTTGCATTTTCGGTATGGGTGTTTGTAATTTTTTAATTTTTTTTTAAGTAAAGTATCTTCAAGTTATGTTTACCTTATTTTACTTATAAATTGAAAAACCCCATTATAAAATCCTAAAGGAAAATCTCAAGGGAACCAGCGACATATTGGTCTTATGGGTTTGACGTCATCCCTGCACGACTCTATTAACCCAAAGTTGATTAAATTAAATTATATTCTAGATATACCTATGCCAAGTTACAAAAATCAATCATTTTATGATACTGACCTTGATTATTGTGATATGCATAATCTGAATTATTATACCACAATGAATTTTGGGTAGACAAAGGTGGGATACGGTTAAAATACAATAAAATAAAGTGTAAACATAAAAAAATAATATTACTTTGCACTTGACAAAACAGGCCGTGCTTCCTCTTTAGCGATCCCAAGCATCAGTTGCGTTATTGTTAAAACGCAACGACCAGCGGCCCTAAAAGAAGGTTTTCGCTGTACTAACAAACATGCTCGTTTTCCTCCATGTTCACGCTGTCCTTGCGGCTTCTGTCATTCGAGGCTCCAGGCGAGACGGAGGTGAGAAGTGGGTCGCTTGTTGCTACAGACGACAATGTGTCGTCCATCAGGATGTCGTCAAGTTTAGCGACATTTGCCTTAGAAACGAGACCATAAGCCCCTGCGTCAGCAGAAGTGCTAGAGCCTGTACCATGAGAGTCGTTAAAGGTGATTGTGCCGTCGTTAAGGTCTAGGGTGCTGGAGCGGCCCATGCCAGGGCGAGAGGGGTGCGTGTGAGGGTACATGTCCTGGCTGCAGTCCCCCAGGACCGTCTCCTGTTTTATGCCCCGGGCTGCTAGATCTGATGGACAGAGTGTAGACGAGGCGATGGCCAGACCATGAGCACGAGCCTGCATTTCCAACTCCTGGATTAACATTGAGCAATGGACAGACAACAAAACATTAACTGTAACATAACCTGTGATTAACTTTAGTGAAATCTTAAAGACACATTGAAATCAAAACTGACTATTCTTATTTTTTTTTTTAAATGGCCAAGAGAGCTCAACATGCTGAAACTGAAGAAAACACATGCAAATACGAGCAAATTTAGAAAACATCATCAGTCTAACAACACATGTGCAACACAACCAAATAAAGACACGCACTGCAAATACTCACAACTCACAATTTTGTTTATATTAACATCATGATTCCTAATTGTATATACATTGTGAGTATTTGCAGCGCGTTTCTGTATTTGGTTGTGTTGAGAGTATTTGCAGCACGTTTCTGTATTTGATTGAATTGTGCATTGTTTTTTTGTGTATTGTTGGTGTCTTGTTTGATGTATTGTAAATTGTAATTTTGTTATGTTTTTGCTAGTTCTAATTGTTTCACTGTAAGGCCCCCCTCGAAAACGAGATGATACATCTCAAGGGGTTAATCCTAATAAATTCTATATTATTTCTGAATTTGATTGCATTGTGAGTATTTGCAGCGCGTTTCTGTATTTGGTTGCACTGTGAGTATTTGTAGCACGTTTATGTATTTGATTGCACTGTGAGTATTTGTAGCACGTTTATGTATTTGATTGCATTGTGAGTATTTGCAGCTTGTTTCTGTATTTGGTTGCATTGTGAGTATGTGCAGCGCGTCTCTGTATTTGGTTGTATTGTGAGTATTTGCAGCGCGTTTCTGTATTTGGTTGCATTGTGAGTATTTGCAGCGCGTTTCTGTATTTGGTTGCATTGTGAGTATTTGCAGCACGTTTCTGTATTTGGTTGCATTGTGAGTATTTGCAGCGCGTTTCTGTATTTGGTTGCATTGTGAGTATTTGCAGCGCGTTTCTGTATTTGGTTCTGTTAAGAGTATTTGCAGCACATTTCTGTATTTGATTGCATTGTGAGTATTTGCAGCGTGTTTCTGTATTTGGTTGCATTGTGAGTATTTGCAGCTTGTTTCTGTATTTGGTTGCATTGTGAGTATTTGCAGCACGTTTCTGTATTTGGTTGTGTTGAGAGTATTTTCAGCGCGTTTCTGTATTTGGTTGGATTGTGAGTATTTGCAGCACGTTTCTGTATTCGGTTGTGTTGTGAGTATTTGCAGCACATTTCTGTATTTGATTGCATTGTGAGTATTTGCAGCACATTTCTGTATTTGGTTGGATTGTGAGTATTTGCAGCGTGTTTCTGTATTTGGTTGCATTGTGAATATTTGCAACATGTTTATGTATTTGGTTGCATTGTGAGTATTTGCAGCACGTTTATGTATTTGATTGCATTGTGAGTATTTGCAGCGCGTTTCTGTATTTGGTTGGATTGTGAGTATTTGCAGCGTGTTTCTGTATTTGGTTGCATTGTGAATATTTGCAACATGTTTATGTATTTGGTTGCATTGTGAGTATTTGCAGCACGTTTATGTATTTGATTGCATTGTGAGTATTTGCAGCGCGTTTCTGTATTTGGTTGCATTGTGAGTATTTGCAGCACGTTTATGTATTTGGTTGCATTGTGAGTATTTGCAGCGCGTTTCTGTATTTGGTTGCATTGTGAGTATTTGCAGCACGTTTATGTATTTGGTTGCATTGTGAGTATTTGCAGCACGTTTATGTATTTGATTGCATTGTGAGTATTTGCAGCGCGTTTCTGTATTTGGTTGCATTGTGAGTATTTGCAGCACGTTTATGTATTTGGTTGCATTGTGAGTATTTGCAGCACGTTTATGTATTTGGTTGCATTGTGGGTATTTGCAGCGCGTTTCTGTATTTGATTGTGTTGAGAGTATTTGCAGCACGTTTCTGAATTAGGTTGTGTTGTGAGTATTTGCAGCACATTTCTGTATTTGATTGCATTGTGAGTATTTGCAGCTTGTTTCTCAATTTGGTTGCATTGTGAGTATTTGCAGTGTGTTTCTGTATTTGATTGCATTGTGAGTATTTGCAGCTTGTTTCTGTATTTGGTTGCATTGTGAGTATGTACAGCGCGTCTCTGTATTTGGTTGCATTGTGAGTATTTGCAGCGTGTTTCTGTATTTGGTTGCATTGTGAGTATTTGCAGCTTGTTTCTGTATTTGGTTGCATTGTGAGTATTTGCAGCGTGTTTCTGTATTTTGTTCAGTTGTGAGTATTTGCAGCGTGTTTCTGTATTTGGTTTCATTGTGAGTATTTGGAGCTTGTTTTTGTATTTTGTTGCATTGTGAGTATTTGCAGCGTGTTTCTGTATTTGGTTGCATTGTGAGTATTTGCAGCGCGTTTGTGTATTTGGTTGCATTGTGAGTATTTGCAGCACGTTTCTGTATTTGGTTGCATTGTGAATATTTGCAGCTCGTTTTTTTGTATTTGGTTGCATTGTGAGTATTTGCAGCTTGTTTCTGTATTTGGAAATCGAGTTTAACGCAGGCAAAATGTGGTGCAATGACACTGACCGATACACTGATTAAAATAGCTGATTTCACTGGATTTAAACATTGTTGGAAACATTTTTGAAAATCTAGGTACACACGTCAATAAAATATATAACATCGTTTGAGTGGTTTTTGGATATTTGAATCCAAAAATTGTACATACTGTGCATCATTACGTTTTAATAATTTTTTTTTTCATGAGAAGTGCACTTTTTTTTTTTTTTAAATTGCAACTTCGTTCATACAAATGTTTATTTACTAAGACTGTCAAGCATTTAAATATTTTTATCTAATAAATTACACGATTAATTAATCTAAATAATCGCAAAAAATTATTTTAAGTCATTATTGTGTTAAATGAGAAAAGCATCAAATAGACATTACAAAATGTAGCTTTAAAAAAGAAATATTTTATTTGGTTCAACATAGAATTTATTACACAAACGTTTAGGCTACAAATGCCATGATTTCTTTTTTCAGAAGCTGCATCTGAATGGATATTTAGATATATTTACAGACAAAAACAGTTTTGGTTACCAACATTCTTCATAATATCTTCTATGTTCTGCAAAAGAAAGAAAGTCATACAGGTATAAGACGACACAAGAGTGAATACATCTAAATAAACAGAATTACAATTTTTGGGCAAACTATCCTCAAAATATGAATTAATTTTTTTTAATGAAATGATACTGCCAGTAAGTGGCGATAAATGTCTAAATGAGTAAGTCATTGAATCATTCATTCCTTCATTTCATTCAAGTCATTAGGTGTGTTTGGCTTGAAGCTGCGCTGCACAGAACGATCAGTCTATGTACCGTGAGAGCGATTAAAGAGGAAGTGTAAGCTTTTGAATCGCTCTCTCGCGGTTCTTTGATGTCACATACCATTTGCTCTGCCCATCACTATTTTAAGTTGAACACACCTAATGGCTCTTTACGAATGGGCCATTGAATCATTGGTTCACCCGACCGATTCGCTCAAATCGCAGATTAATTCAGAAACGAAACACTGCTGTGTGTTGCTCCGAGACGCACGACAGATCAGCTCTGGCTTTATAGGTAATATTTTTGTTGGAAAAAAACGGACAGGATTGTGTTTAGAATAAAACATAATATTCACTTCTTATTTATTGAACTGTTGTATAAAATCAGGTGGCTCATTGTTAGCGCTGTTGCCTCACAACAAGAAGATCTCCAGTTCGAGTCAGGAGTCGAGTGTTTTATCCGGGTGCTCCGGTTTCCCCCACATGCTGGTTAAAATGGCCTGTGTGAGTGTGTGTGTGTGTGAGTAATTTCCCTGTGATGGACTGTCCATCTGTGCCGGGTACTTTCCCTCCCTCTGGACTAAGAAACAGGGATAGGCCTATGACCCAAGAAGGTCATATAAGGATGAATCAAATGTATAAAATCTGCATTCGTGCTATTCAGAATAAAAACAGCACTCGTGTGATATTGTGCTCGTTACTCGTGTGATATTGCTTAACTATGTCAGATGTACGGTGGCCGAGAGGTGCAAAACAAATCACAATTATAAAAACAAAACAAAAAACAAGTCAGAAAACACAGAAAACAAAATAACAATTCAGAAAACACAACAACAAATCTGAAAACAAATTTACAAATCAGAAAACACAAAAAAAATTCTGAAAACAAATTAACAAGTCAGAAAACACAACGACAAATCTGAAAACAAATAAACAAGTCAAAAAACACAACGACAAATCAGACAAAACGGAAAAGGTAGGTATATGTGGCGAATGGAATACTGATCGCTGATTGGACAAGACATCTGTCAATCAAGACATACAGAAAGTACAGCAGACTGCGCCTGCGGCAGAAGAAAGATTTATTCGCATGTGCATGTGTAAATATTAGCTGTCTATTTAGCCGGCTAATTTAGTGATATTATGGAGAACAAAACTTTTCAAATTAAAATCTTCCAAAATTATAAAATAACTCGAGCTGGTAAAGTGGGAGAGTGGCGTGTTGGAAGAACAGCTGATTTAGATTTTGACGCGAACGACCTGAGTTCGAGTCTCCCTCGAGTGACGAATTGTAATTCACAATATTAACTTCTTGTTTATTGATCTGTATAAAACCACATGTAGAAAAACAAAAGCTCATGCAGGGGCATTGCCCCTATATTTGGAAGTTTTAGGGCATTATTGCATTCCAATAGTGTTGTTTGTTTTTTGCAAAGTGAGGGACCTACTCGATAATGTCAGCTCGCAGCCTCGCACATAATTCAAAAAAATATTGTAGACGATACAGCTAATATTTACACATGCACACGCGAATCGATCTTTCTTCTGCCTGTATTATCTGTATGTCTTGATTGACAGATGTCTCGTCCAATCAGCGATCAGTATTCCATTCGCCACATATACCTACCTTTTCCATTTTGTCTGATTTGTCGTTGTGTTTTCTGACTTGTTAATTTGTTTTCAGATTTGTTGTTGTGTTTTCTGAATTGTTATTTTGTTTTCTGAATTGTCGTTGTGTTTTCTGACTTGTTTTTTTGTTTTTACAATTGTGATTTGTTTTGCACCTCTCGGCCACCGTACAGATGATATACAGTAAACATGAGACAAAAAATTTTGCACTGATACCTTGAATTCTAGAGTAATTCTAACTGAATTTTATAGGCTCCATCACACAGTGAGTTGTTGCCTGAATGAAATATAAAAAAGCTTTAAAAAGCTCTCTTAAGTTCAGCTCGATTCATTTAATATTTTTAAACTATAATACATTTTCATTTTATTGTAAATAACTTGCATTTAGGAACACTTTACCCTTGTGCGACCTTATGGACATTTTTGTCTTTTGCAGTTAAGATTTTTTTTTTTTAATCATTTTGCTTAATGCCAACTGCATGCATTTTGTATTTTTATTGGAATTTTACTATTTCACCTCCATTTCCTTAATAAAAAAAAGTTGCACTACGTACACAAAATAGTTCCACTCAGGACCTTAAGGGCAAAAATGTCCCCTTTGAAACCCATTAAAAGTGTTGGCAGTTTTAATGGGTTTGGCAAGGCTTTCTCAAATTTGGAACACGACTTGTTTAGATGTATGACTTTGATTTTCTTGCAGTTTTAGAGTTCAACATGTTTTATAAAATATATAGCTCATAAATCATTTTCATAAACTTAAACCTGTCTCCCTCCCTCCCTCTCTCTCTACACACACACACACACACACACACACACATGCACACACACACACACACACACACACACATTTATATATACAGTATATATATATATATATATATATATAATTGTTTTTTTTCTCTACACTATTTTTATTTTATTTTAACTTTTTTATTCTGCCAAGGGTCTTCTTTAAAATTAGACCAAACTTAAATCTTTGTTGCCAAGTTTTTTTTTGTTTGTTTTTTGACTCTATGGACTAATGTGTAACTTTTTTAAATTAAAGCACAAGGGTTAAGTATATTCTTTTAAAGTATATAATAAGTACTCTTTTTAAAAGTATGTAAAATTGTGCTTCAAGGGTAATTATGGTCAATGTGCCGTTCCTCTAGATTTAGATGTCCTGGCAGTGGTGTTGGCCAGACTGTCTGAACTGACCTGTATCCGGAGGATCAGGTGACGGTTGGCGTGCTCCAGCTTCTTCTGACGGTTCTCCAGCTCTTTGCTGCGCTGCTGCTCTCTCTGAAGTTTCCTGATGTAATCCACAGAGGCCTTAAGAATAGTGCCCTTGTTCCAACGCATGTCCCTGAGGAACACAAGCACGTCCTCAGCTGACAACAGCACATCTGATAGAATGCTCTATGAACAGCATCAGCATCTGCAGCAATAATAGCATGTATTCATCTGGCTTATGTGTAACTGCGTATCTATTGAACATCGCTGTCCTTACGGGTCATTTGATCTCGGAATCAGAGTCCCCAGTTCTTTGATTCGATCGTTAATGTTGAATCTTCGTCGCCTCTCAACTGAAACAGAAGAAAAAGGCATGTTATACTACACAAATCCCATTTAAGGTGCTCCACTTACAAAGTCTGTGGGACATTTCCTGTTTTTACAAACTGAGGGACGAGTCAAAATGACTGTCTTTGGTAATTAGAAGAAGACTTCCGTCTTGTTTCGAAACTCACTTAAGTTATGGTTGTCCTTTTTTTGCCTTTCCTTTGCGAGAGCGCGAACTTCTGCCCCTAAAAAAGACAAAGGGAGGTGAGAGGAGAAACTAAAAGCAGGACGTTTATTTCACAGATGTGAGATCGAAATGTCACTGCAGTCAAACTCGTTTATTTTCTCCAACCCAAATCTCTTTTCCACAAAATCTAGATCACTTCCTCTACAGAATATGACGATTTTCTTTTTGGCTGCACTTGGAATAAAATACAATTCCATGAATAATTACATTATAACTAGGGTTGGGTATCCAGAATCGAGTATCGATTGGAACCGAGACTAACTTTTCGTTTTTCCCGGAATCGTTCAAAAGTAAAAATTCCGATTCCTAGTTTCGATATTCACAGTCCGCCGAGCGGAAGAAGAAACCGCTGAACAACACCAACGAAGAAGCGTCTACCGGAAGTGTTGGCATAACCGCGCGAGTCGAACATGAGTACCTTACGTCGGCGATCCAAAGTGTGGCTTCACTTTTCTAAAAACAACGAAATCTCGGCAAAATGCAAAATTTGTGACAAAAGGAGTATTTTTACAGAAGGAGTATTTCCTTCAGAAAGACCGTTGGTTAGCAAGGTTAGCTAAACTTTTTTGACCCTGCCTCTTAAAAGAATCGGAATCGAGAATCGTTAGGAACCGGAATCGAAACAAGGAATCGGAATCAGAATCGTTCAAATTCAAACGATACCCAACCCTAATTATAACTGATATAAATTCCCTCAATTTGAGGTGTACCATAAAGCTTACATGATAAAAATGTTGGTCTTACGTATGCAACTGTCCGTCATTCATTTATTTGACAAATGACAGTAATGTTCTCCAAATCTGCCAGTTACAGAGGGTTTTGGTGAGCAGATCCACAGAAGCTTTGGCGCCTACGCTCTTATGCATCGTCATGGCATGGTGTTTCTTATTTGTGCAAATGTGACATTGATTTAATACAACAGTTTAATAAATAAGTAGTCAATATTGTGATATATTTTATGGCTCATTTCCACCGAGTGGAACAGTACATTACAGTGCAGTACGCAATTTCAGAAGTTGGGAATGGTACCAAAATACCAAACCATACCACTTTTTTGGGACCCTTTTGTTGGGGAGTAGTCCAGAACCTAAAGGGTGGAGCTAGACTCACCGCAGACTGTTAATTGGTTGACAGAGAATCGCCACTTGCACATGCTACAAGTGAATGACGACATCTTTTATTGTCTTGTGACAAACAGCCACATGCCAAGAAGCAAGAACAAGATCTGCAGAATGACGGTGTGCCGCTTTCTTCTTCGCGCGAGAATGACGTCGGTCGCTTCTTTCTAGTTTGCATACACCATGCCGATCAAGTAATGGTTCTGTTGGCGGTGGAAACGTAAGCCGGATCAGGGTTTCCCGTCCCGAATCGTACTGTACCGCTCGATGGAGACGAGCCATAAGTCACGATATTGCATGTTTTTGCTCAATTTTCTCCAACAAAAATACCACCTGTAAAGCCAGAGCCTCATAAATGAATCAGTGTTTTGAGCAAATCAATCGGGCGAGCCACTGATTTAATAACCCGTTCGTAAAGAATGCAATTTACTTCATTCCTAAATCAATCGAACTGATTTCGTCGCCGTTTGAACGTATCGAATGGATGATTCAATGACTTACTCATTTAGACATTTACCGTCACCTACTGGCAGTTTTACTTTTTATTTAGAGTATCACTTCATTTAAAAAAAGTCATATTTTGGGGATTGTTTGCCCAACAATTTTTTTTTTTTTTTTTACAATTACTCCTCCTCATGTCATTTCAAACCTGTGTGACTTTCTTTCTTTTGCGAAACATAGAATATATTTCGAATGTTAATAAATAAATCTAAATACCAACTCAGAATCATGGCCGTTGTTGCCTAAAAGTTTATGTGTAATAAATTCATTTTGAAAAATCGAATATCTGATGCTTTTCTCATTTTAAAGACTTTATCTTTTGGGGGTAATTTCTCAGTCAAATTTGATGTGATTTGGCACATAATGTAATTAGATTGGATCAATATATACAAACACATTTAATTTTACACAACCTATAATGAGCACATTCATGATTGTGCAAATCAAATCCATTAAATTGTTATTAAATTTCAGAGACGGCACAGAGTCTTTGAACGTACCCGCAGGAAACCCTTCAGGCCTTTGATAGTTCTCAAAGTTGCTACAGGAGCTGGGCTTGTCCATCATGTGCATCATCGCTGGGGATGGAGTAACTGTGTAGCAAATGAGCATAAATCTCATCATCTTTCACATGACATTTCTACTGACTTTATCAGGTGAAACACAATCCAGCACATCGTCAAAATATCGACTCTAACCGACTCATCCGATGTCAAATAAACAACACTTACCAGAGAATTCCCTTTTAATGTTGGGCAGGTTAGCAGGGCACGAGTTACTAATAGAGAGTCCAGGAGGAGGCATCCCTGGGTTACTGTACAGGTCCAAGAGGTTCGCTGACACAGGAATCTAGAAACACAAGACCATATACACATCATAGTCTCATTTGACCGAAGTGCATCACATTGTGAAGTGCATCAATGGCTTCACGAGACTCTTCTAGTCCTTTTTGAAACTTGACATTCTCAATCTCCATTAACTGTCATGGAAAAGAGCAGCTTGAACTAAACAAAAAAAGTCCAATGGATTTGGAAGGACTTGAAAGTGAGTAAATGATGATAGAATGTCCATCACTATAATTCACTATTTCATTGATAGACATTAGATCAGGGGATGACAGCTGGATAACACTGCTTTCTACAATACCAACACCAACGACAGCTCTGATTGTGTGACAAGACAGAAAGAGACAAAGGGGCTGTTTACACCTGGCCACTTCATGCGTTTTCAGTGATCAGGATAGCTATCCGATCCTGAAAAGACTAATGGCCCTATCTTGCACCCGGCGCAAATGACTTCGTACACTGACGCATTTTTCGTTCCTATTTTGCACCCGCGAGCAAAGTGGGCTTGTCCCTCAACAGTCGCACGTCGGTAAACTAGGAAATGAACTTGCGCTCCCTGGGTGGGTCGGCGCAAAAAAGAAGGAGAGTTTCGGAGCAAACATTCCCTAGTGCTATTTTGCAGTTCCAGAAAACAATTCATAATGCTATTTTAAGCGCGCATGCTTGGCCATAATGTAGCGTACACTTTGATTCTCTCATCAACACAGATGCAGGAGTTTTTATTTTTTTGCAAATTATACATTATAACAAGGAAAAAATATTAACACATGAGAGAAATCATCATGAAGATGTAAAAAAAAAAAATGTAGGCCTAAATCTAGCTTACACATTTACACAAATTTTTCAGGCTAATTGTAGTAATGACGGATCAGAACTGTTTGCCCAATAGTGGCAAGACACATATGTATATAAGGACAAGAACCAGGAAAAAAAATCTCCCATCCCCATACAACGTCACTTCTCTGTCTTACACTGCCCTGACAAGAACGTCGGTCTCCTCGGCTGTGAACCGCTCCTGGCGCGCGCCTGGTAAATCCGCCATAATAATAACAATCCGCCATGCAACATGCGCACCTGCTCTTAAAGGGTATGTTGGATGACGCTCTGATTGGTTTATTTCATGTTATGCCCAAACCACACCTATGAATACTGAAGCTATTTCAGACCAACCCCTTTTAAAGGGTACATATCATGCTTTTAAATCATTCATTTTTACATATAAATCATATCGTTGTGGTCTATATAAAACATAACTGCAATGGTTGGGTCTGAATTCCTCATTATTATAGCTCCACAGGCCCCTTTTCTGATGTGCGTCTTTGAGCGACCCGTTTTAAAGCGTCCCCTTTAAATAAAAAGGAGATGCGTCATACCCCGCCCGCTCTCCAGGTCGATGAGTTCACGGTCAGTTCAACTCCCCACGTTCGGCCATTATGTTAGTTTGATTAGAGATATACGATTATATACGATACCTTCAAAGAACATTTTTATTCACACGTTAATAAAATGTCAACAACAGAGGACTTGTCCATCAAGACTTACATATTCGAGCCAGAGCGAGCGAGTTGATAAAGACGACGACGAACTTGCAGTGAACAACCACTTCTTCATATGATATGTGATATATTGGTATGTGAGTTAACTGTTTTGTGTTATTAGTGAAAGTCGACTATTTCTCTTGTTAAAACAACCACACTGACAAGATAAATGACTACGGTCTAATCTTACCACAAAAAAAAAAAAATCTGTATTGACAATATGATACGTTTAAAACACAGCAGCTAAATGACTCAAGAACAATAATACTGCAGACGTGTAACGTTACTTCAAAACAAAAACAAAGAAAGACAAAGGTACTGCTAAACCACGACCACCATGTGTTTTAAGAAAGTAAAGTACTTTATTTTATTAACGATATTTACAGCTTATCGAAATGCTCTGTTCGTCATCTCCAAAGATAGAAGGAATTTACCTCTCATTCAGACGAAGTCAATCGGCAAACCCATCTTTATACTGGCGGAGGTTGTTGAAGTGGGAATCCTTGAAGTGCTTCAGATCACTAACGTACATCCAACAACCGAACATTTTGACTTGCCCTCTCGTAACTTCTGCATCATTGAGCTCGAACTACAAAATCGGAGCGAGAAATAATAATGGCGGATTGCTCGAAGTGTTGGACCGGTAGTCAATGTCCTTATTTGTCAGTTCCGCTGCAAATACGGTGATGCACTTGCTCCAAAAACGTCATAGAAAACAGAAAAATCTGAACAGGTTGAAAAATATGACCAAAACAGAATATAAAGATATAAACGAAGCACCTGAAGAGAATAATTTCATCTTTTCTGTACTTATAAACACTCCAAATATACAACAAAATGCATTTAAGGGCTAAAAAAGTGGATTTTGCATGATATGTCCCCTTTAAACTTGCGTCGGGCGCAAGAGTCATTTATCCTGCCGATAAAATAGCAACAGTTCCCAAGACCCGCCCACAAAGTTACTTGCGCTTGATACTTGCGTCTTAGATCGTTAAAATAGGGCCCCAGCCATGCCCTCCGAAATGCATTCAAGATGGATTTGAATCCGATTAGGCCTGCTCAAACCACATCAGGAGGTGGTCTGGGCCGCATTCCAGCCGAAACTGGACAAGTGTAAATGCATCTGGTTGTTGAAACCACATGTGTAAATTTTACTCTTCCCAACAATGCTTAAAAATAAACGTGTGAGAGCGTGTTATAGGCTATATGTCATGTTATAGTCAGATATGATGACGCTACTGCAACACGCATTACAGCATGACGCGCGAACGTGAAAGATAAGTTGCAGACGCTCAACACGCAATCATCATCATTGAATGATCTTACCCGTTCTGTTAACGCTCTCTCTTATTGCCATCTTTGATTTTGAAATTAGCTGACGATCAATAAAATGCAGCAATATCTGTTGCTTTCGGTGACGTGCACTCCATTAAATCTGCAGCGGGAATTGAAGATCGGATTTATATGCGTTTTGCAAAAACACATTTATGTGACGAGGTGTAAATGGAATCGTTTTCATAAATCAGAACCGATCAGAGAAAACGCTTGAAGTGGCCAGGTGTAAACAGCCCCAAAGTCTCATGAAATTCACTGGTAATTTAAATACATGCTTGAGTCATTTTAGATCAAGAGATCAGGGTTTGGCTTGTTAGCATTGTTAGCCACTACAGGTACAGTGCTTAGCATACGTGAACACACCCATGCTAAAGTTGACTAAAAAGAGGAATAAAATATCTTTAATAAAATATTAATAAAATCATCTTTTGGAAATTGGTCTTAATGCCTTAATTAAAAAAATGAGGAAAAATCCAACCTTTAAAGATACCACTTGTCATTGTGAATGAATAATGTATCATAAAAAAAATAAATGTTCTTCCTTCAAAGTCAGGACACCCCTATGTTAAATTCCCATAGAGGCAGGCCTTCAGCATACCTAGAGATTGGCATGGGGTACTTTCCATAGATCATCTCTCAATGCAAATAAGACCAGCTATTAGGCTAACTGAAATAAACCCATGTCAGTCTCTGGGTGTGTGATGATGTGGGTCTATTTTAATCCCAGAGGCCAACAGAAATTATCAGGATGCATAGTATCCTGGATCCATGAAATAACTGGCCCTTAAAAAATAAAAAAAAACCTGCCTGTCTCTATAGGAATTTAACATGGGGTGTCCTGACTTATGCACCCTGTATTTGATATCAAAGGAAGAACATTTTATTTACGATACATTATTCATTCACAAAGAAAAAATCCTTAAAGACTGTATTTTTCCAGTCCTTAAATGGTCTTCGTTTCCTGTTTACACTTCTGGGCTTCGGGGTCTATACGACCCAACAATTGATTGAGTAATTGTACAAAAAAATATACATTTTTAATCATACAAATAATATATATATTTTTTTGTTTACTCATCTTAATTAATGCTGTGTTTTTGGAGATATAAAGTACTTTTGTATCCATATACCACACAATTCCTCAACTACACCATTAGCTTGCATATGAAATATTCTTTTTTATGATGCATTGCATTTATGCTCTAGTACTAGGCCTTCATTTTTTTTTTTTGACACGTGAAGAAAATATAATTTTTTTTTTCTTCACATTTCCCATTCATTTCAATGTGGGGTCATATTGACCCCGAAGACCAGATGTGTAATTTTTTTTTTTACATACCTTCAGAAAAACCGAATCAAGCCCAGTTTTTTTTGTGTGTGTGTATAGATAGATAATGTATGAAAAGTCACAAAATTTTATTCCACTGAGATGAAGGGAACCTTTTTTTATTAAGTAAATGTCGATTGGGGTCGTATAGACCCCATGACTCGATTGAGGGCTACGGCATTAAGATCGATTTCCAAAAGACGATTTTTTATTCCTCTTTTTAGTCAGCTTCAGCATGGGTGTGTTCACTGTAGGTTCACCGTAGATGCCGTAGCTTTTGTTTTTTTGGAGGCAAAATAAAATTACGAATAAAATTACAAATATTTCATTATATTAACTGATTTTTGCAAGCAAAATTAAATGAATACATAAGAGTTACTATTTTATTACTACGATTTTTTTGGAGGCAAAAAAATATACAATGGATAAAAAAATATATTAACAGTTTACTTTATGCAAGCTAAATAATTAAAAGTAAAATATACAAAATAAAACATGGATCACACTTTAGTTACGATCCAATTCTCACTAATAACAACGCAAAAAAAAAAAAAAACATTTCATTGTATTATTACTATTTTTGCAAGTAAAATAAAAATGTAAAAAAAATGTTTTTATTACTACTGTTTTATAGGGCTCTTAAAAACTCGTTCAGTCACAATCCATGTGTTTGTGCCAATCAGCACTATTACACAAAATCTTGATGTACATGTCCTTCCACATACTCACATTACTATTTACAAGTGCTGAAGATACGAATAAGTAAGGTTATAGAAAAAAAGTCACATATTTCTGTACCGTGTTGGCCATCTGAAGTCCGGGGTCCAAGGAGAGTCCCATGATATCATCATTGTAACTGGATTCCAAACTTATTATGTCATCAATGACATCATCCATCTGAGAGAAATCAAAAGCAATCAGGTGAACAGCTGTCAGAGGTCATCCGCTGAGGTACAGTGTGACATTGTGAAGTGAATTAAAGTATCAAGTATGTTGGAAATCACACAAAGGTTCAAATCCATCCATTTCCTATGCTGAAAATCACTCGAATGAAACCGATGTACTGAAGCACATCCCAAAGCCCCTCAACCTGCCAGTGCCAAGCTCTCTCTAATCTATTAACACATATTTTTGCACTCTCTCGCTCACGCTCTCTCTATCACACCGTGAGCAGTGACGCAGTCCACACACCAGCTGTTTCAGAGACACGTTCACAGAGTTGTTAGCTTTGCTCCTTCATTGATATCAGTTTTATTGATTAACATCTTCATGACGGTCGCTATCCACTATATTTATACATCCTGTCAGGATCATGTCACCTCTGTCTAGACTTTTATACGTTTTTTTTTTGTCTCAGGATCCCGACATCCATGTTTTCATCTTGGAAATGGTGAAATGGTAAATGTAAATGGAGGGGAAAAAGGTTAAGCCTGTTTTGTACCATCATTCAATTATGACTTCATTTTCATGTCTGTTCATGGATTCCAATCATATATTATTTTTCATCCGATTTGATAGCTAGCCTAAACGTGTGTTTGTTAGTGAATTCCAATCATTCGTAAAAATGGCTTATGTGAACGCTCACCCATAATTAGCATAATCCCTTCAATTACGTGTCCAGTGGCCGGTTTCACAAAGATAGACTATGACTATGGCTTAGACTAGAAGATAGTCAGACTTCAGATAGACAAATAAATCAGACCATTGCACAAAGCACTTAAAGGAACACTCCACCCATTTGCATTAAGATTTCCATTGTTACAAATCCAGTCATACTATTGAATGGTCGTGCAACACTCATTTTCCCAAGACAAGAGAAATCCGCTATTTACCTTTTTCACGTCCTCCTACAATGATGCAAAAATCTTCATTTTACGTTATTGTAGGAGGAAGTGTAAGAGGGGGGATTTCTGTAAAGACTACAAGCCTACTAGTTACCACAAGACTACTAGTTCCCACCCTTTCAAACCCGCCTATAGGGGGTTGGACCTAATGCGCTAACAGACCTATCACAGATCAGTGCCAGTGCGTCGGTAAAACTTTACAATAAGGTTCGTTAGTTAATATTAGTTAACAACATTAGTTAATATGAACTAATAATGAATAGCACATATACAGCATTTTTAAATCTTTGTTAATGTTATTTTCAACATTTACTAATACTTGATTAAAATCTTCCTAACATTAATTAATGCACCATGAACTAACATGAACAAATGATGAACAGCTGGATTTTCATGAACTAACATTAACAAAGATGAACAAATGCAGTAACAAATGTATTGCTCATGGTTAGTGCATGTTAGTAAATACATTAACTAATGTTAACTAATGAACCTTATTGTAAAGTGTTACCAGTGCGTCTGATTTCACCAGCAGAAACTTTTTGAAAATATGGACGAAGGTACTGAATACGCAGACAGATGGATTATAGGGCTGGGTACCGAAACGCGCTGCCAATCAGGAACCGGTTCTGACGTAAACGGTAATAACAAGACCGAATAAGAACGAAAATTTTGGTGCCTGAGACTCAGTGTCATGAGGCGCACACACGCAAAATCTCTCGCTCTCTCCCTTGTGCGCGCACTATACGGTTTGGAGTCTGGTCTGATCTGTCTCGTATGCGCGCTCTTGCTCACTCGCTCTAGATTCCGGGAGATTTGAACTAATTTGCAGGCATCAGGGAGCCGTTATCAATATTCGGGAGTCTGATACTGAGGGGATTAATGAAGATGCTGATGCACATTATCTGATTTCATTGTGTGAAATGATTTCCAGGCGGTAAAGTGGAGCTCAACTCTAGTCTACATTGATGGGTGGAGTAGTGGGAGTGGCCTGCGGAGCTGAGCATTGCAATGCACTATGGGGATTGTTGTCTACAATCCACAAGCACTAAAAAGTCATTTTATGCCTTTTATCGGCCGAGAAGGACCCAAATTCGAAATTTATGATACTATTCTACTACATATATGAACCACTTTCAATACATATTCATGTCTCCACCAGTGGAATTACCCTTTAAGGCCCAGTAAAAACGGAGAACTTTTGCTACGTTTGCACCTCCCGTCCAGCCTAAAACGGAAAAAATGAAGACCTAAAACGGAGAAGTTTAGAAAAGCTGCAGCTCCGTTTTGCGCTTTGAAACTCCGGAGAGCGTTTTATTGAAGACGAGACAAAACGGAGAAGTTTAGAAATGATGACTCAGAGGCTCACTCTCGGCTCTATGATTGGGTGTCATCAGTCATGACGTATCCTTCCCTGATTCGTCAGCCATTGTTTACACCGGCACGCGCATGCCCAGTGTTGGTGAATGGTCACGTGATCGCCGTTTTCAGTCGTTTTAATGTGGACGGAGATCAATTCTAATATGCAGTAAAATGCTGGTCTGGACGGAGATCGTATTCGAACGTATTCTCCGTTTTTAAACGAAAACGCAGTAGTGTGGACGGGGCCTAAGACTCTGACTATCTTAGGTAGGACTAGACTGCAATGCATTCTGGGTAAAATAAACAAATAACATGGCAGATCGAGTAAGCGCATTCAACCGCTCAGTGCAGGTTACCCCAATGGAAAACATGTGTTTGTTGTAGTAGTATAACACTTACAAGGACATTTTACTTGAGAAATGTAACGGACAATTTAGTAACAAGAAGACATGTTTAATTTGAAAAGGCCCTTTTTCCCTTCTGGCTGTTTGTAATGTAACTGATTGTAACTGCTGGTTGCCAAGGTAACTGAGTCTTAGACCTAAGTTAGCCTGGGGAAAAGGTGTCTATATTTTTGGGAAACAGTCTAACTTGCATTAGACTAGTCTATTGTTAGACTAATATGACTCGTCTAACACTACCGGTTAAAATAGCTTTGTGAAACCGACCCCAGGATCTTCTGGACTTCCTTCTCTTGTTTGGCTCCAGTATATTGCATAAATGCAAAAAGAGACCAATAGGCCATATGCCTAATAATAAATATTCAATTATCGTGTGTCCACCAAAACATTTTTAGCCAGTAAATAAAAAATGCCAGGCGCTCTTCTGAAAACGGCCAGCCAGTGGCACTTGAGTGCGCTTTGGAGGAGCAGCCGGTTACTATGCCGAGGAAAATGCCAGGCAGTAATATGATA